GAGAAGGAAAAGGCGGGAGAGACAGGGAGAGCAGGCCCTTGGAGTAGGGTAGGGGTAGGCAGCATCTGAACAGTCCTGAGAAGGAGGCATTTGAAGTTTGTCATTCTAGGGCCAGAACAAGGCCACCTATAGGGGTTCTGGGAAGGGTTTCCTGGCTAGAAGGCAGGAATGGCAAGCCCAGATGTCCTGGGACAGGGGAAGTGTGGACGATCTGGGACATCAGGAAGGCCAGGGGCAGAGATCATAGTGGACTAGCAAGAGAGTGGATAGTGACGGGGATGGGGCGGGGGACAGATGTGGTCCTGGTGGCTTTCTGGAGACTCCTAGTAGCTCAGCAGCAGCAGCCCTAGGATTTGAGCCCCAGTCTGGAGTGGCAAAGCCTTCCTCAGTGGCTGCAGCCACACTGATGAGGTGCAAGGGCTGTCGGAGCTCAGGAGGGTGGGCTCCTAGAAAACCATTGAGGGCTTTCGGGAGGGTGGTTTGTAGGAGTCTGATCTGCTGCAGTCATCCATCAGATGTTGCTAGGAAGACAAAGAAGTCTCAGAAGGCTGTGGTCATTGCCTGTGTGAGATGAGATGGCTTCTGCTCCAGCCAAAATGGTAAGCTTTGTTGGCTTTGACAGACAGAGAAAGGGTTTTCAAGGCCGCAGAGTCTTAGCTGTTTGGGGAAGCTCAGGGAGACCAAGGCTTCAGGCAGAGCAGATTGGGCAGGACTACGGAAGCTCACTGCTGTCTTTGGTGTTTCAGATGTTTCTTAGCTGTAGGAGGGCACTGGCTGAGCAGGAGCACCTCAGGCTGGATCTTGGGGAACAGGTGTGTGATGGCTCAGTGTGGGGGTGGGCTTAAGGTCTAGATGGAGTCACTTGTGGTAATTTGAATGAGAATGGTCTCCATAGGCTCATAGATTTGAATGCTTGGTCACTGGGGAATGGCACTATTTGAAAAGATTAGGAGGTGTGGCCTTGTCTGGGCTCCAGGATTGACATATGACTCTTCCATCACATTCCAGTTGACTTTTGCTTCAGGCCAGGGGCTTTAATTGTCCCATGGTGGCATCCTCTTGTTAAGGGGATCTCGGATAAGACACACAAGGAAGGGATGCCAAGGTCATTGGCTCCTCTGGGAATGGCTTCATCTGGATTTCTCTGCCCCGGATTCCTGCTTGAGCACATTCTGCCACACGCCTGGTCATGTTTTCAGTCAGCTCAGCTTGCTGTCATCGATCTTCAAATGTTAATCATTAATTGCTTATCATGATGGGCATCCCAGATGTTTACAATAACAGCTGGATGCAGCTTAATCATTAATGCTGTCTTATTTTGCAAGTTCCCAGGTTCATGTCTGATCATATTGGGTGCTGATCTATTTATGAGGCATAGCCCATTTGCTCTTTAGACTAGAGTGGACGAGGAGACTCAGGGCACAGGTGAGTTACCCTCCTGACTTCGGGCAGCTTTGGGAGGATTTTGCCAATGATGAGGACTACCAGAGCAACTGAGGCAGGGATTTAATAAAGGAGGAACTTGAGAATGAGCTTTGCAGGGTTTTGGTGAAGATTAAGTGAGAATATGCAGATAAAGTACTTAGTGTGGTGTCTGGCAAGCTTTTTATAGGAACAGCATTGTGTGTGGTTGTGGCCATAAATATTCCCATGTCCCTCCCTCCTTCCCCTCCTTCCTGCCTCTCTCCTCCCTCCTCGTAATTGTCCGTAATTCTCTCTTCCCAATCTTCATATCCCTTCTCATTCTCTCCCTCTCTTTCTCAAAGTCTCCTTTATTCCACATTCATTTCCAGAACCTTGTTTTAGAATTCACTTTAGCTTCATGCTAAACGCTGGAACTTAAACTCCAGGAAATATTGAACACCAGGAATAAAGCAAGAGCCAAAAGCTGCTAGCCAGTAGGGGAGGTCAAAACCCAGTGTGTATCATGTTTTGTTTTCTTTCTTCCTTCCTTCCTTTCTTTCTTTCTTTTTCTTTCTTTCTTTCTTTCTTTCTTTCTTTCTTTCTTTCTTTCTTTCTTTCTTTCTTTCTTTCTTTCTTTCTTTCTTTCTTTCTCTTTCTGTCTATCTGTCTTTCTTTCTTCCTTCCTTCCTTCTCTCTCTCTCTCTCTCTTTCTTTTTTACATTATGTGTGTGTGTGTGTGTGTGTGTGTGTGTGTGTGTGTGTGTGTGTGTGTATGCACGTGCATGGAGGTCAGAAGAAAACTTGCACAAATTGGTTTTTCCACCGCCTACTCTGCCCAGCCCCACTCTTCCACAGTTTTGGACCATCAGGCTTGGTGGCAAGCTCTTTTATCCACTGAGCCATCTCACTGGCCCCTGCGGTGGGATTTCTGCTTGAGCTACCAGGCAGCAGCTTGTTGGAGCCCACACTAGCCTCTGCTCAGCTCAGCAGAGCCACATGCACAAGGCAGTGACGTAGGCACTTCCAGGAAGCGTGACGCCTAGCTTGCCTGGCCAGGAGGGAGAAAAGTCCGTATCTCTTGATGGGTTTCGTGGCCCACTGATGCTGGAAGCACCTTTACTTGCCTTTGCTCCTGAATGAGGTCTCACTTCAGCTGTCTGGGCTCAGAGCCGGCCTCTAGGACAAGCTGTGTGGGTGAGACACTTCTTTGAGTCGAAGCTGCCTTCTCTCTAGCCCTACATTAGTTGTGGAATTTTATTAGCAGCTGCAGTAGAATAGTGATGGTGGTGGTTTTCTAAACATTTAACCATGGGATGGCCTAGGTAGGGGTCAGTCCCATTGCCAGAGCAGAGTCCTGGTGTTTTGCTCCGTTGCCTATTATCCCTGTTGCTGCTGGATTTTGAGGAGGCCTGGTGACATTCAGGGAACTGGGCCATTCCCCACTGAGCACAGGGACATTCTCACGTGGGAACTGACCTGTTCTCTCGGGTGAGCTTTGGCATAGTTTTGTCCTGAATGACAGTTTGGTCACTGCAGGCTGAGGGACAGGGAGCTGACATAGTAGTGCCCTAAACAGATCTTGTGTTTATCTCACGGGTTTTGCTTGTTTCTTACTCTATTTAAGCCTTACATAGTTGTGTTGAGGGCATGCAGAGTTCTTTAGTTTAATACCAAGTGGACTTAGATAGTGAGTTAACCGGTTCTTATATATCAGCTCTTCCTTATGGAGCACCATAGCTGTCTACAGGGGCTGTCGGCTGTGCTTCAGGTGGGGAGTAAGTACCCTATCATTCTAGCTCCTGGACCTTTGCTGTGGACTAGGTGCATCCTCTCAGCAGCCCCACGAGGTTGGCCTTGTCACCCTCTCCCTTTGAAATGGAGGCACAGAGAAGTCAAGTCATTTTCTGCTAGCCACACAGCTTCGTAAGTTATAGAGCTGAGGTTAGAAACCCTGGTCCCAGAGTCCATGCTGCCTGAGGCATAAGCTCTCAAAGGTGGCCTTGCACAAGACGTGCTGGTGATGAGACCTACTGGAACTGAGGAAGAGTGTCCTTGGCTCTGGAGTCTGAAGGGTGAGGCTTCTAATCTGGAGCTCTTACTGCGGCACTCTGTGGGCAGTGGATTTTGCTGAGTTAGCAGCTCTCTTGCCGTTCTTTGCTGACCAGGAAATAGGACCCAATCCCAATTGTCTGTGAATGAGAAGGAAGCCCAATTCATCACGCACAGCCCTCTCACACAGGTGTCCAGACTTGGACAGCGCAGAATCAAGTTGCCACTTACAGAGTTAATGCTCCAGAATGTTGTGATAGAAACCAAAAAAAAAAAAAAAAAAAAAAAAAAAAAAAAAAAAGGCAAAGAAAACCCTGTATTTTCAGTATGTTTACAGTTTTGCATTTGGCTACACTCATAGCTATCCTAGGGTGCATACAACCCATGGACCAAAAGTTAGATGTGCCTGAGAAAGGGCCAGAGCATGGCCATTTATAGCATCTTCTTAGAAAGAGTATGCATATCCCTCATCCTGTCCTAGCGCTTAGCTCGTCCCTCTCACAGAAGCCTCACTGTTTGGGGGCTTGTTGAGTCTCTGTCCGCCCTCCCTGGCCCATGGCCCCTTGTCTTAGCCCTGTCACATGGACTAAGTACCTTCTCCTCCCACCCACTTCTGCCCTCTCTTGCCTCCATGCTCTTGACAGCTGCCTGCACACCCTGACCTTGACTTCTCAGTGACCCCGGTGGTGGGTGCATGGGCCGCACTCTGACCACAGCTAAGGTCACATTTTCTCTAACCCGTTTCCAAACGTAAGCCCGTGCTGGTCACTGTGAACTCACTGATGGTGAAGGCCCGTTATCTTCCTTCTCCACGGCCCGGACCCTCAACACCCCGGCAGGGATGGATACAAGGCTGCTCTCCAGACTGAATTCATGACGAACACCCACACCGGGTCCTGCCTTCCCTAAGGTGGGGACTGCTTGCTTCACTCTGTATGTTGACATTACTGGGTGATGGAATGCAGACAGAGTGGGATGGGAGGTAGACTGCACGGGACAGCGTAGAGAGATGTCAAGAGTGCAGGGTAGCTTTGGGGTATAGGTGGTCCCAGAACATGTAAGCCTTTTCTAGCAGTCTCCCATCTTCCCATGTCCAAATCTACAGTCTTTGCCAAGATTTTACCCTGGTCCATCCTTTGACGGCACCTCCCTCCACCTGTGGCTTCCCTGCACCTCCTCCACGGCTGATGTCCTATAAAGCCCGTCTACACACAGGCTCCTCTTTCAGCTCCGTCCCTCCCCTGCCAGCACACTCAGAACACCCTTGCTATAATGACACCCCTCTCTTGAGTCAGTCAACCCTTGAGTCAGTACAGACTTGACGTGTCACCCCCAGCCCTCAGTGGCCTTGTTTGCTGTATCCTGCATCCCTCCCTGCTCACTGTTCCCTGCCTTCTGTTTCCAGGCGGGCTTCCTCAGGAGTCCTCTCTCTGCTCTTTCTCCCTGGGTGACCTTTCCTAGTCGGTGGCATTAAAGACTATTTTTTTGTTTCCAGCTCAGGGAGAACGAGAACCAGAACCAATAGGACATTCTCTCCACCAACCACCCTGCCACCTCTGCTCTGTCTGGGACCCTCCATTAAGGGTGAGTAAATAACTCTCAGACTCCAAAGCTTTGCCAGGCATCTCCCAGGGCCCTTTGTATGCAGCACCCTCCTCCATTGATCACCACCAGGGAGAACTGTGGAGAGTCCCAGCAGTGAAGCCAGGATGAGAGAGACCTAGGTTTCTGATTCCAATGACTTGTTCTCCCCACTGTCCTGGCCCTTGCTTAGTCACACAGAGACTAGCCCCCAGGCCCCAGCTCCCAGCCCCCAGGCCCCAGCCCCCAGCCCCCAGCCCCCAGGCCCCAGGTCCTGCATGCTGCACTCCTTTCTGGCTAGTCAGGTCTTGTGCCAGAATGGACAGAGAGGGACAGGCTGTGACCTTCCACTGTGCCACTGTGAGAAATGGGGGAGGGGATCAGTCAGGGTTCTTTAAAAAAAAAGAAGAAAAAACAGAAGCAGTGGGAAATCCCCCCCCCCCCCCCCCATTCTGTCTGGTGTGATCCTTTAAAGGATTGCTTCATGCAATTTTGGGGACTGGCAAGCCCCAAATCCACACACCAAGCTACAAATTCACTTTAGCAATTATTTAGTCTCTCTGCTGACGCAGTAAGCCGAATCAAGCCAAATTAAGAATAAAAGAGCAAGTTTATTGGGCAAAACATTCCCGGGTGATTTTTTTCCCCACCCCCAGAGATGAGACTGGGAGAGGAGACCGGAAAAAACAACGTGGTGGTTTTCCAGGAGGCTTAAATACCCTGTAGGCCTCTTGAGTAGCTCCGGGGGAGGGGCCACTGCTTGGTGGGCTTTCTGAGAGGGAGCAGGGGTTTGGAATGGGGGAGTGGGAGAGAGTGAGACCGGATTGGAGTTTGCAACTTACAGCAATGCTGATTGATGTAGTCATGTTCCAAGACTTGAGACTTGGGAGAACTCCTGTGTTGTAGTCCTGAGGTGGATCCCCTTCCTCTGCAGGGCTCACATGGTTTTTCTCTTGGGGTTGTGAAGTGACTGGGGAAGGCCACCTACATCGCAGAGGGCCCTCTGCTTCACTTAAGTCAGAGGGTTGCAAATACCGATTAAAGTGGAAAGTTCTTTTTCAGCAACCTCTGAATTGTTCTGCAGATATCCAACCAGCGCAGCGGCGCGGTAGACTAGCCATGGTGATACATAAAATGGGCCAGCCCTCATAGGAGAGCACTGCTGATGAGAAGACGTCCACGCACATAGAGACAGACAGACAGACAGACAGATTGACATACACACAGGTAAACACAGAGAGATAGACAGATATGCACACATAGATACAGATAGACACATATCATACACACACACACACACACACACACACACACACACACACACACATATATATATATATATATATATATATATATATATATATATATATATATATATAGAGAGAGAGAGAGAGAGAGAGAGAGAGAGAGAGAGAGAGAGAGAGAGCAGTCTCTGTCCTGGCTTCTGGGATGACTCGATTTTGCTCTGGGGTACCAGGCAGACATAGGTCAGTTTCCAGGAGGAGGCAGCAGGTGATGGAAGGATTAGTGAGGCATAAAGCCTTTCCTCCTTTCCTCTAGGCCAAGGGTAGCCTAGGCAGCTGCTGCAAGAGGCTTGCAAATGTTTCAGGGAAAATAGGCCCAGGGATATAATGTGATACCATGTCTACTATCATCAATGCGGGGCCTTCAGTGTCCCACTGACATCTGGCTAAGGCATCTGTGGTGACTCCTGGGCCTGAATCCAGCCCAGGCTGCAGCATCCAATGAGGACCCTGCAGTTTTCAGGGTGGTGCCTTTTACCTTAGGAAGTGGTTCATGCAGATTGGGACTTGGTTTGGCTACTCAAAACTTCAGAACTTTTTTAAAAAATTAAAACAATTAAATGTGTCGTTAGATTAACATTTTTTTTTCAAATGTAGAAAAATTGGAAAGCTATGGGAAAACAAAACAAAACAAAAAGATCAAGATCTCCATAGTATCACAGCTACGTATGACTGCAACTTAGGTTTGCTATTTCTGACTCATCTGTTCATGCATGAAAACATTGCTGTCCTTGGCCATCCTCCAGCCCTGTCTCCACTGTCCAGGCTTATCCTGCATCCCTGGTTCTTTCCACTGTCCCCACTCATTCCTGCAGCCCTGTCTGCATCGTCTTCATTTAGTCATCTCAAAAACTTGCCACTGCCTTCCCAACCAAGTTTCTGGAGCATTCTAACCCTTTTGTTATCATTTCAACCATTTTCATAGCATCCTCCTTGGCCATAGATTCCACTGCAAGAAGGCACCTTTTGTTTGTTTGTTTGTTTGCTTGTCCATTGAAGTTTTGGTGTATGACTATAGAAATTCATTTGCAGTCTCTAGCTCTTTTGCTATGCCTGCCATATGCCGTTATTCCCTTCCCGGGAGTCTTGAATCCCTGAGAGTAATCTCTGAGGGCTGGAGTCACCCTTTTCCATGATCCTTTAATGTGTTGTTATTTTTACTTCATCCAATGAACCACAATGGTGTCTCAGATGGTGACTTGTTTCCAAAAGGCTTTCAATTTACCCAGATCTATCAGAGAATCACTGTTGTACCTATATCCATTACAGAAAGCGTTTAAGTATTAAGCCTTAAAGGTTGAGCTTTCTCCTTGATTTGTGAGCTGCACAGTGAGTGTCGTGCTGGCAGGCATGAAAATATTAATCTTCTTATGTTTATAAGTCTGTTAAAATCATTGGCTGACCAGGTGCATTGTCAATGAGTAATTATATATATATATATATATATATATATATATATATATATATATATATATATATATATATATATATATATTTTTTTTTTTTTTTTTTTGGTTTTTCGAGACAGGGTTTCTCTGTGTAGCTTTGCGCCTTTCCTGGGACTCACTTGGTAGCCCAGGCTGGCCTCGAACTCACAGAGATCCTCCTGTCTCTGCCTCCCAAGTGCTGGGATTAAAGGCGTGCGCCACCACTGCCCAGCGAGTAATAATATTTTAAATTAATTTTTTCCCCAAGCTGCTTGTCTCAGTAATGGGTATCAAATGTTCAGCACATCATGTTATAAACAGATACGTCACCCAGGCTTTATTGTTCCATATACAGAACACAGACAGACAGACAGACAGAGTAGATTCACTACAGTATAACCCTTCAAGGCCCAAAGACTTTCAGAATGGCAAATGAGCACCGGTGTACCTTAGTCACCCGCTGTATTTGTCCCAATTTGTCCCTTGGAAGACAGGCAATGATTTCTCCTCTCTAGCTATGAATGTTTTGGGTGACCTCTTTTTCTAATTAGAAGCCTGTTTGATCTTCACTGAAAATCTGTTTGCTAAGTGAGTGCTCAACACACAAATCCTACGTTTGGATTTGAGTAAGAGGACACAGTCTTAGTTTAAGCACAAGAAATGCTTAACATACAAAGTATTAATCATCAGTACATCCATGTCTAATGTCAAATGATACATATTCACTTGTATATCTTCCTCCACTTGTCAAATAGAAATTTATTCTGAGTATTTTTTCCTGTCACCACATGCTATTAAATAATAGGCTTTTAAACAAGACTTATTTTATTTTAAATTATGTATATGTGTGTGTCCTTGTGAGTGTGTGTCTACAACTGAAGATGCCTGAGGAGGCCAGAAGAGGGTGTTAGATATCTTAGAGCTGTAGGTATAGGCAGCTACAAGCTGCCTCACTTGAATGTTGGGAACTGAACGTGGGTCCTTTGCAAGAGCAGTACATCCTTTTAACCACTGAGCCATTGCTCCATCCCTAGATAACATTTGGTAAGGACCATAAGACTTTCTATGGGGTAGGGAGATGCTCAGTCAATTGAGTTCCTGATGTGCAAGCATGAGGACCTAAATCTGGATCCCCAGCATCCAGATAAAAAGCCGGGCATTGCAGTAACATCAGTAATCTGAGCACAGGGGAGGCAGAGACCCGAGGATCCCTGGAGCTTGCCGGCCAGCCAGTCAGCCAGGTCAAATCTGTGAGCATCCAATTCAGTGAGAGATCCTATCTCAGAAACTAAAGTGGGCAGCAATTGAGGATGACGCCTGACATGGACCTCTAGCCTTGGTGCATGCGCGTGCACACGCACACACACACACACACACACACACACACACACACACACACACACATGCACAATCTATGTATACAGCATACATAATACATAGAGAAGACAACACACACATACACACAATACACACATAATACACACACAACACACACACACTTTCCGTTATGATATATATAAACTTTCCTGCTGCAAGACTTAGACAGATCCCCAGTAGACAGATAGAAAAAGGAACCACAAGCAGATTTAAAAAAAAAAAAAAAAAAAGGCATACTTGCTGTTTCTTCTGCGTCCTCCTGACCAGAAACAGAAACCTTAAGGCCTGGTGGACTTTTGGGCTTTTTCTCTGGCCAGCAGGGCTTCCTGCCTGTTGGTTGGTCTGATGCTTTCAAGCTGGGCTCAGGACGTGCCTACTCCAAAGTTAGGGCCTATCAGCCTCCTTGTGTCTGTTCAAACTGACCAATTCTGAATTAGGGGAAGAAGACCCCTCAAAGACCCACAAAGCCCCAGCACTCCAAGAAAGACTGCATTTTGTCTTCCTGAGTGCCCCCGCTTTGATTTGCTGATGGTTTTTCTGAATGCCTTGCTGTGCGTGGGTGAGTGTATGCCTGGTGTGTGTGTGTGTGTGTGTGTGTGTGTGTGTGTGTGTGTGTGTCCCTAATAAAAGCCTTTCTTCATGGGCTGATTCTGTCTGCTTTCTCTGAGGTTTCCCCTGTTTCTTTAACTGGCAATGAAAATGAAGCCAATCAGGGTCAAGACGTTGCAACACACCACACAGTTACTATCGCAAATGCCATTTTCTAGCATAGAAAATGTTGCAATGAATATCTTGGACTAAAAACCTTTGTGCTCAATTTTTTTTTTCTTACCGTAGGAAAATTTTTTACAAAGGCTGTGACTAGTTTAGCTAAAGCATATATAGCCTCCAGAAATTCTAAAACATTTCAAAACTCTAGAAATTGGCAGGGCTTCCCACTTCTGTCTCCCAGGGATTTGGGTTACTGGTTTGGTGACTGTTCCCAACTTGACAGGCGAGCCTGGCACTTTGTCTCAGTTTCCACTGGCTTCATTTTCCCCTCTGGAGACAGACAGTCTGGTGTTTCCTATGTGTGCCTTTGTGAGCATGACCTTCCGAGTGCGTCTCCTGCGAGGAACAGTCTGCATTCCCTAAGCTGTGAGGCAGCCATGGGAAACACAGCCCTGTCTCACGTTTCCTAAGTGGAGTTGTGCCAGGAGGTGACTGGGTCTTCTGGGGATCTGGGGTCCAGTGAGGACACTGCAGTGTCTCATCCTGGTGTCCTTGCCCGAGAGCATCTTTCAGCATGCCTCCTGTGACTTCCTCTTTTTTTGTGCGGTACTGTGGGTTGAACCCAGGACCTCATGCATGCTAAGCCAGTGTTCTACCACTGAGCTACATCCTGGGTCCTTTACAAAACACTTTATTTTGAGACAAGTTCTCACTAAGTTACCAACCTGGCCTTGACTCACTGTGCAACCAGTAGGGCCTTGGGCTTGTGACCTCCTGCCTTAGTCTCTGGAGTAGCTGGAGTAACCGGTGCCCCTCTGACTTACACATCTTTGCCAGCAGGCTAAATGGCATCCTTTTTTTTGCTCTTAGGAATAACAGGCAGCCCAGGGCCTGAAAAACAAACCATGAAGCTCAGCGAGAAGGACCCAGCAGAAAACAAAGAAAGCCAGCAGAAGAGGAAGGTGGTCAGTCCTGGTTTGTTTGTTTCCCCTTACCTGTGCATTCTGGTAACCAGGACAGGGCAGTCCTTTCTGTTCGTTCACACTCCCCTGGGGGGTGGGGTGGGGGGGTGTGACAACAGCAGAAGACAGAGTGCCAGGAGGACAGCAGTGAGGGATGCTGGGGACTATATATAGATCTGGGATGGCCTCTACAGGGAGATGGTCTCCAGAGTCCTGTTATGCTGCTGGCTCTCTGGACTTGCTGTGAGGGTCCCCATTCCAAAGGTCAAGGTGGGGACCTTGACGATGACATCAATTTGGTCATTATTCTTAAATCTAAGGACACATTGAGGAACTGGGGAGATGACTCAGTCAGTAAAGTCCTTGCTGCCTAGAACCCAGAAGTGGTGGCGGGTGCACATCTGTAGTGCTAGTGCTGAGGCAGGGCGTGGAGACAGGTGGATCCCTGGAACCCACTAGCCTTTCAGCTTAAAGGAATTGGGGAGCTCCACATTCAGTGAGAGATCCTGTCTCAAAAAATAAGGTGGAAAATAAGAGGAAGACATCTGACATCAATCTTTGGCCTCGACACTATGTGTACACCTCCCCCACCACACACACACACACACACACACACACACACTCATGCATGCATTCATGCAATTTCAACACTCATACATTGGAATCCATCCCCACTCTACCTGTTTCTGCCTCTAGGAATTCCTTAGCAGATGGTCTCCATTAGGATAGCGGACACTGACAAAGATCATTCCTTCGGGCAACAGGATTTATCTAATGCCAGAGAGGATGTGGCAGGGGTCCAAAAGAAGAGGGAAGGAAGAGAGGAAATATCAGGGCACTGGAGAAGATATGGGAGGCTGCTTCAAAGTATTTAGGAAGGGGAAGTATTGTGGGGATTTATCAAGGCAACTCCATGTACTTAAAAAGGAGGTTTATTTGGGGGTAACTTACAGCCAGTAAAGGGGTTGGTTACAGGATCCGGGAGAGGTGAGGTGCAATCCAATGGGGTTCTCTGGAGAACTCTGACTCTGTCTGCCATCTAGCATCCAGGATCACCAAGAACCAAGAGGATCTGGGTCTTAAGTGCTCCTGTCTTGGCTCCACCCCAGGGGCATGTCATAGGTAGTTGTGGCAGTTACCAGAAGCCTCACTAGGGGTAGTACTTCCAGGTCAAAGCTGGAACAGCTACCCACTACAGGGAAGGATCTTCTTCCACTATGGGGAAATGAGGGATCTAGCAGTGGGGGGGGGGGGGGGGTCGCTGTAGAGAAAAGGCACCTGAGTTGCCTTCAGTGGGTGAGGGGATGCCTCAGCCCTTTGATGTCTTTGTGTGTGTGTGTGTGTGTGTGTGTGTGTGTGTGTGTGTGTGTGTGTGTGTGTGTTCCTAGATGAACAGTTTCCATACCCCAATATTGGGTTTCTCCAAGGATGCAATAAATCAGATCAGGCCAAATTAAAAGTCCAGGTCTAATGAGCAAAACATCCCTGGGTGATTCTCGGGGGAAGAAACAGGAGAGAAATCACATGGCCAGTTTAGAGACCATATCTTAAGTACTGGGTAGGCATGGTCTTGGGTGGGGGGAGGAGCTGACCCTTGGCGGGCTTTCTGAGGGGCCTGGAATGGGAGGAGTAGGGGCCAGAGTGGAGATTCCCAGCACTAGGGGCCTATCATTTTCCTGGAGTTTGGATAGATTGCTTACAAATTTAAACAGGCTGTTTGCTCCTTTGTAGCAACAAAGAGCCCAGAGTCAACTAGGAGAACTGCTGCAGGAGACAAGAGTGGTCTCGCCTCTGGGATTTCTCATAACCTGAAGCCTGGAGGCCCCAGGGAGTCTAGCACAGACCTCTCCCCGCATCCCACCACAGGGTGCCTGCTAGCGTCTGTAAAATGGTGGGAACACCAAGTCCGATTGGCGCAGACCTAACACTTAGCAGCTGGGAAGATCCCCTTGCTTAGCACTCCTCGTACCTCCCCAACCACATCCAAGAGAGCTTACAGCCAGAACGACCCCACTGGGACCTTTGCAAGGACGCGGATTCCCTCATTCACTTCTCTTAGTCAAACTGGTGTTCTTGGCAAAGAATAGAGATGGAGGCAGTAGCAAGTCAGGGATATCCATGTGTTTTCTCACAATAGGTGGAGATGTCAAGGAATTTGAGCCCCGTCTCTTTTCCCCCTATGGTTCTTTTCCATTGTTACCGTAACTGTCAACTCTCATGGGTGTGTGTGTGTGTGTGTGTGTGTGTGTGTGTGTGTGAGAGAGAGAGAGAGAGAGAGAGAGAGAGAGAGAGAGAGAGAGAGAGAGAGAGAGAGAGATGTAGCATGTAGAGGTCATCTCTAGGTCACCCTGGCAACCCTCTAAGGTTCAATTTGGGATAGCCCACCAGAAGAGGGACATCTGACCTCTAGGCATCCTGGCCTCAATGATAAGCATGAGGATGGGGTAGAAAGCCAATTAGTTCCCCAAGACAGCTCTCGGAGCGGCCCGGGACCCTGGCACCCTCCGTGATATCATGCCTGGCCGTACTTGCAGGCGTTTGTTGACCACCTGGATCCGGTCCCCTGAGCTTGCCGCCTCAGTGGGAAGCTGAAGTGGGGTAGGTAGGGGTCACCTGATGAAATCTCAGCAAGCTTTTAATAGCGGATGAGATCTGTTGTTGCAGTGAGACAACAGTACCCTGAGGAAAGCTGGATGGTGGGTAAGGAAGAAATGAGACCGTGACTGTTACGTCCTTAGCATGTAGGGGTGTGGCAGCCCCTGATTCTCTGCTACCCCTCCTGCACCTTAGATCCCAGCCACGTAGTCTTTTTGCCTGTCACCTGTAGTTTTTTTTTTTTTTTCCCAGATAGCATCCATCCACTATCTCTGCCCACAGGAGGTGTCCCTGGCTGAGGAATGTCATACTGAGCAATGAGCTGGGCTCTGTGAATCCCTGACTGAAGACTAAGGCTGCTTTTTCTTGCTCAGGGTGGTTCCCGCTTACCCAGGGCAGCACTGTCTCCTTGCTGTGCCTCTGAGGCTGGATGCCTTCAGGTGCATGTGACAATCAGGTTCTCCGAATAGTTCTCCTTCTCACATTCTTTATCTCCGTGTGTCCCCTCCACTAAACATAGCTCGCTAGCTTCTCAGCGTCTTGTGTGGGGCCATGAACTCTGCGGTTCGTCTCCTAGGCATTCTGCACTGACCAAGCCTGCCTCTGTCCCTTCCCAGGCTCTCCCAAGCACGTATACAGCCTGATGGCTCACTGAAGATACTTCTCTGACTGACACTGGGGCAAACTGGCCACAGAATGAGTTAATTCTCATGCTAGCCTGGTGTGCATGGTGTCGTTGTCCCTTTATGCTTTATTGAGCCCGATGGGGCCTGTAGAGAGGTTCACAGACATTCCTGCAGGCTGCTCGGGCCGCCTGTAGGCTATATGAGCAGCAGGATGACTCTGCAGGTTATTTAGAGAAAAATCAATATTCCATTTTGCCCTGGCAGAGTGGAAGCTCAGAGAAGTGTCAGGACTTGCCTGTGGATACATAGTAAGTGGAAGAAGACTCAGCACTGGAACTCACCCAGCTTCGAAGGCTAGGCCAATGACTTTGGCCTTATTTCTTAGGAAGTTTCTCTGGGTTTGTGCCAGCTGCGCCATCCAGAGCTCAGGCCTTGTTAGAGAGAACCTTTTAAAAAAAAAAAAAAAAAGCCGAAGAAAAAGCCTCAGGACTTGGGTGTGACTGGGGAAAGCAGATGTTCTTTTTAGACTCTCCAGTTGCTTAGGGGAAGGAGAGCAATGTTGCTCGCTTCCTATTCAGGCATGATCACATAGCCACGCTTCCTGCTCTGCCCTCCTTCCTGTGGACTCTGCCTCCTCACTGTGGAGATGCCCTGGCAAGTCCAGGGTCCTGGGGCCAGGAAGAAAAAAAAAAACATGGATGCCAGGGAGCTCACCTTAGCTTCCCTGATACGTGACGCCAGTTGCCCTGGGGAGCTGCCTGTGGGTCACCAGCTGAGGAGGAAGAAGGTAAACACAGAAAGGCTTCTCTGCTGTGGGGAGTCCAGGCCTGGGTGGCTGCTATGGGTCAGAGCTCAGCCCGTCAGCCTGTGTCTGGCAACTGTGCAGCGTAACACCTGGGAGCAGGAATGCTGGAGTTTGAATCCTCCCTCCTGTTGACTCCGGGGCCTCCATTCTAGCATCCTGTCAGTGCGTTGAGAACGAGGTTCTGGCGGACAGTCACCTCACGCTTGCTCAGGGCTGGTCATCTTTTCCTGGGCTCAGTGTGAAGTGGGGGGTATGGGTGTGTGTGTGTGGGGGGGGGGGCGGCAGCAGGCCACACAGGATCAGTGACCCAACAGGCATAGAGAAGCAGAGAACCCCCAGAAAAGGGGATGAGGCAGGAGATGGCTTCCACTTGCCACCCTCCCCTGCCTGGCAGGACCCCTCCAGACCTGATGGGAGCAGTCCACCCTTAAGAAGATCAGGGTTGAGAGCCAGGGGGAGGCGCAGGGCCTAGAAAAAATGCTTAGTGTAGCCGGGCTGGGCAGTTCAGAGGAAATGGTCTCTGAGCTCAGACCCTGATGATACTTCAACTCCTCCTACTACACAACACTGCTCTAGACCCATTGTATTTGGCAATGCCCATCCCTGGAGTGGCAACCCCCACCCCCTGTCTCCCACCATGCCACCAGCATCTACTCAGGGCTGCCTCAGCAGAAGGCTTCCTACAGGGACACAGGAGGCAAGCAACATAGCCTCAGCCCGCAGGACAAGCCCCGCCCCCTGGAGCCTGACACTGGACTGGGGCCAGTGCCAGGCTGTCTGCTTCTTATGCAAGACTATGCTGTGGATTCTGTTATCACTCCCATCTTAAAGACGAGGAAACCGGGTCAAGGAGTGGCCGTGTAACTGGTCAAAGCTTCCAACACTGTGAAAGCTGCAGTGTTAGGATCCAAAGTTGAATCAAAGAGATAAACACAAGAGCCAAGGCGAGGCATGGAGGTGGCTTTCAGGAGGCTTCCCAGAGGAAGGGGCTTTGGCAGTGGGTCTCGGGAAGTGAGAGAGCCTCTTAGAGGACCTCGGGTGGACAGCATGGAGAGCTGAAGCTTGTCTATCTTGGCAGAGGCTGGACCAGAGGGAAGTAAACAGTGGAAGTAAAAGAGTTTGAGGTTTTGTTTTTCTTTGAGAACTGACTGTGTCTAGCAGCCCACTGGTTTCTCAGCAGCAGCAGCACTGTTATTAAAAAGCCCATTTTATAGATGGACAAGTTGAGCCCCAGGAAGCTCCCGTCTCTGCTCAGATGCCCACAACTGTGTGTCACTGAAGCCTAGCAAGAAGAGGCTAGGGGCAGAGCATAGACTTGCTGTTAGGGGCCAGTGTCGCCCTCCAAACTATGCGTGCCTGATCTTGGTCTCTAAACTGAATAAACTTGGGACACCCTTGGCTCACGCGGGGTGGTGAGTAGGTGTCAGGAACTCACACCTACAAAATGCATGTCCTGGTCTCCTCCACGAGACCAGAGGCCTGTGGCAGCGCTCCAGTCCCCAGGTGTTTGTGAGCATGGCCAGCCAGTTCCTGGTTGTGGTCCTCATGGATGAGGCTGGGACAGGTGTCCTTGGATGCAGATGCCACATTCTCAGCATATGCCCTGCGTCTCTACCTTCGTCCTTATCGTAGGTGAGCTGAGCAGTTTGCAGGCTCATTGGTCTGGAACTATACATGTGTGTACATGCTCATGTACATGCGTGTGCATCTGTGTGGCCATCACCCGTCTCAGACCCAGGTGAAGTCAGCTGTGCTGACAGGGAGTCTTGTCCTGCAATAGGAACCAGCTCGGGCTCCAGGTTCCTCCCCAGGCAGCACCAGGGACAGCTCTGCACCCCTTTCTCCCTCCTCTGTGACACTGGATGGAACCGGACTGACTAGTCTAGGGATTCAGGGGAAGAACGATAACACAGGAAGCACTTAGAACAATGTCTGGCCATGGTGCTCAAGAATTGCCAGCCTCAGCAAAGAACTTATCTTGGCTTTTGCTCCTCCTGGGTCAGACAGCGGCTACATCCCCCGGAGGTCTGCTGAAGGGTGGGGGTGGGCCCAGATCCTTAGGCAGCCCTGCAGGAAGACAGCCAAGTGGCGGGACCTCAGGGCGGGAACTCTGCCTGCCGCACGCCCCTTTCCCTAACCTGTGTTTTTTCCCGCCTTGAATTCCCTCTGGACCGCCTTCCCATTAAGGGGGCAACCCACTCTGACGCTTTCCTCTCCTTTCCCAGGACTGGTCCTGGTCGCTCGTTGTGGCCGCTCTCGTGGGAGCCTTCGGATCCTCCTTCCTCTACGGCTACAACCTCTCGGTGGTGAACGCGCCCACGCCGGTGAGTGCCCGCGCGATCCGCCCGCCAGAGGGCGCTGCGCCCACACAGAGACCTTCCGGTCACCAGCCCAGCGTTAGGCCACCTGCAATGCAGGGAACACGGTGAAAGGTGACCAGGAAAAACAGGGTGACAGTAGAAGAGGGTGTGTTGGGGGAGCGGGGAGTGCTGAATCAGTTCCTGAACTGAGATAACCTAGGGCACTTGGGCACAGAGGGAGGAGGCTGCAGAGGTCCAAAGGGCTTGTGGCCTCTAATACAGGGAGTTAAGGAGCCTGGAGCACACAGACTCGAACGTTTGTGACTTGACCTTTTTTAAAAGAGCCACCTGTTATGACTCACCCCTGGCTCCTTTCTCAGTCTGAGATCAATTCCAGGAGCTCTGCCGGTAACAGGCGAAGGCCTTCCAGAGGCCAGGTTATCTCCTGGCGGCTCCTGGCAAGATGGAAGTGGTAAAGGGAGGGGCAGAGGCTGATGCTGAGCCCAGGCTTGCAGGTGGAGGGTGGGGCTGAGAGGCTGCAGATTCAGGGAAACCTAGGCAAAGGCTCTGAGCTCCAGGTGGTTGGAGTGCTGGGCATGTTGGGGGCAGCCTGAGGCACATAGAAGCCTGGTGGCTCCAGGAGCTTTTCCGGCTTTGTTTTGTTTGGGCGCCAACATTCTCCTGTGTCAAATACGGGAGAGCCAAGGCTGGTGGCTCTCCAAGATTGTACAGGTGCCACAGATTGCAGGCTCCATCTGTGCCAGGACAGATCTGGGTTATAAAAAACGTGTTAATGCTGACATTTGGGGTGCTAGCTAAGTTATTTCGAAAACATGTTCTAATGCTAAAGGCTCCTGGGAAAAAATGATGTCAGATGGCTCCTCCAGATGTCTGTAACTGCCTGTGTCTTTGACTTTATCATTTCAAGATGAGAAACTGACTTAGCAGAATTTGTCTCTGAAAAAAAAAAAAAGACTGGGAATTTGGACTCTTGCTTCATCTGGAAAAGTCATCAGGGCATTCACACAAAAGGGTGAGGCCTTTGTGGAACAGAGATCCAAGAGAGACTTGAACTTGGAATAGCGTGACATCATTGACCTATGAATCAATTTAGTCATTCACTCAGCAAATATCTACTGAGTACCTGATGCATGCTGGATGCTGGGAATCGGGAAGGCAATCTGGAGGAGGAGGCCCTTGAGCTGAGTCCAGCATGGCTGGAAGCATTTCCAATAGTGGCAGAGGCAGAGGCAGAGGCAGGGGCAGGGGAACCAAGGCACACAAGGCCTGGCTGTGACGAGATGGTGGTATGCTGGTGATAGGGAGGTGGGACTCACCAGGCTCCAAGGGGGAATGAGGAGATGGGATGGGAGAGGAGGTGGAAAGCTGAGGAGGCTGGGGTTGAGGCTTAGCGGTAGAACACTTGTCTAACTCAGGTGAGGCCTAGAGTCAATCCCCAGTACTGAGAAAAAAAAAATGGTGAGATGGAAGAAAGCCCACAGATTGAAAATATTCTAAGAGAGAAAAGACAGAAAGGAAAAGAAATAGAACTCAGATCTGCAGATGAGGAGCATGACCTTGGTCTCTAGGCACTAGGGAGCCACAGCAGGTTCATGAGGGGAGACCCAAGGAGTTAAGACTTCAACATAGGAATTTGGTGGTAGGGGGATAGATTTCAATTTATTGATGTTTCCTTCATCCCATCACAATGAAACAGCAGTTTGCCCAAGGTCAGCTCGGAGAACGCAGTGCAGAGAGACAGACCCAGGTCTGTCTGAATCCAACCCCTGACCTTTAGAACCCCTGTCCCTGGCCACCAGTGCCAGGTTCTTAAAGCATAGGGATACTTAGCGTGGCCAGCTGAGGGTCAGGGTGAACATGGAGACAATAAGAATGTCTGTAACACAAGAGTGGTCCTTCTCTGGGTGCAAACTTTGAGGATTCTACAGCCTGGGACTCACTGTCACATACATCCTGTCCTTATAAAAACATGATCCAACAGAGATATGAATGCTGACTTCGTATTAGCCAGAGAAGCACCCCCAAATTTCTTCTAGGAAGCTTCTTGGTTCATGCCACCCATTTTCCTGTTCTGCCGAAAGTCCTGGTGTTTTGTCGTTTTTAAAGCACGTCATGATGCTTTGTGGGGGCATTTACCTTGGCATCATTGTGGTCAGGTGCCAAGGTAAAAAGATGATCAGACTTACTGTCAGGTCTTGGAGGTTCCCTGATACCACCAGCAGCAACAGATACCCAAAACATTTCTTGGCAAGAAGAGCTGGCTTAGTGGAGCCATGAGCTTAGGACTGCGGAAGGATTGAGTCCACTTAGGGAGTTCTGAGGAGACGAGGGTCACTGTTGGGGTATGGTTAAGGAGGTATAGATGAGGACATGGAGCAGAGAACGGAGCCATCTGTGGAAGGCATACAGCAGCCAGGTTGTGAGCCCCAAGAGGGAAGCCGGGCTGAGGGCCAAGCTCACTCAGGAGGCCCTTCCAGGTCAGACTTCCCTGGAGCTGGAGCCAGCAGACTGGCAGTGAGCATCCCAGCTCTTCCATGGAGTGGTTGCAGTGGAGCATGGTGAAACCTCACCTGCACTCTCGGGGAGATGGAAAGACACTGGAGAGACCCTGCTCAGTGACCTGTGGTCCCTGAATCCTCTCTTGCCCTGTGGGAGGGATAGCGCTGGGAGAATGAGGCCACCAGAGGAGCTGGGAACAGAGTGGACTCTCCATGGGAGGGGGTCCTGTGCAGATGGGAGCATGGCAGGAGGGTGAGGCACGGGGACCTTGTGAAGGAGAAGGCTGTCCAGGGAAGGAACGATTCAGACACTAGGGCAGAGATGTCCAGAGAGGTTGGCAGGGGCTGCCACCAGTGAGTTCGGAGAGAGAAAAATTGTGATTGTGGTCAGTGGCCCCAGCACCGCACTGACTCTGAGACCTGGTCATCAGCTTCAGTGGTGGGACACGGGGTCCAGGTGACAAGTCTCAAAAGGAACCCATGCTTCAGCTACTTACCAAGAGGGAGGCAGTGTCTCCCTGCTTGACTAGTCCACACCTAGCTGACCCTGGCCCTGACTGTCATCCAGGCCTGACCTTGAGAAGCTCTTCTACTCCCCTCTAACCCCCCCCACACCCCAGTTTACCCAGGAGATCTTATCTATTTCCCCTTCCTGGGGCGATCCATACATGAGCCTCTTAGGGTCTTCCTTGTTACCTAGCTGACCCAAGCTAGTAGGAGCTCATGGACTCTGGACTGACAGCTGGGGAACCTGCATGGGTCTGAACTAGGCCCTCTGAATGTGGGTGACAGTTGTGTGGCTTGATCTGTTTGTGGGGTCCCTGGCAGTGGGACCAGGACTACTTATACCAGGTGCATGAGCTGGCTTTTTGGAGCCCATTCCCTACGGTGGGATGCCTTGCTCAGTCTTGATGCAGGGGGGAGGGCTTGGTCCTGCCTCAACTTGGTATGCCAGACTTTGTTGACTCCCCTAGGGAGGCCTCACCCTCTCTGAGGAGTGGATGGGGGGTAGGGGGAGTGGAGGAAAGCGGGAGAAGGGGAGGGAAGGGGAACTGTGGTTGGTATGTAAAATGAAAAAAAAAACCAACTTTAAATTAAAAAAAAAAGCCCTTTTACTTCAATATTTAGAAGCCTCAAATACAGATAATCACACACACACACACACACACACACACACACACACACACACACACACACACACACACCACCACTTGGGCTCTGGTTGTTCTAGCCAGGGCTCACAGTCCACTACACTTCATGACCATTCGCGAGGAGTCTCAGCTAACCTCATGTGATGGAAGAAACTGAGGCCAGTATGTCTAGTTTCCTGGAGTAACCATTGCCCCAAGTTCCCCCTTAATGCCGTCACCCTAAGTGAGCCCATTCACCCTGCTTTCGGGGATGCCCAGAATCTGACTGTGCTGTCCCACCCAGAGCTCCTTTGGCGGGAGCACCCATGTGGCTTCATGTGTCCACAGAGGACCTGTGGTCACTTCAAGCCAGTGGATGTGAGCAGAGCATGGGAGGCAAGAACCACTGAGGCTCTACCCTCGAAGGGTCCACAGGCCCAGGAGAGCTGTCTGACACACATTAGACTTTACGTGAGCCTGCAGGAAACTGTCACGGTCTTTAGCCATTGAACCTGCTGAGGCAGAGGAGGCTCTGACGAAGTAGGGATCGATGACCATAATGGCTGCCAACTACTTCTCCCCCAGTTCTGTCTGTAGCCTGGCTCATGGAGCCGTCTAACGAGCTTCAATGTTTCCATCTGGATCCCAACAGTCTCTCCTCCAGTCAAAGACCAAAGGGATATTATATTTAATGAATTTGGGTGCATCAACATTCACAACCCGCACATCAAACTTAGAAAACCACGCGGACCTCTGTGACTGCACTGTGGGAGTCTGGCTCCCAGGTAGTGTGGTTCTCAACCTGAGGTGCGTTCCCCTTACCTCTCCCACCCCTTTGACCCTCGGTGCTGCCCCTCAGACACCACCCACACTGGAACCACAGGCCCTTTGTACTTTCTGTTCTCTTTGGCTGGGATACTTTTCTTTCAGATAACGCATGCTTTCTCTTTGATTACTCCCTGCCTCTTCTTAAATCTGTCTTCCTCAGTGACATCTTCCCTGACCTGCCCACGTGGAACAGCACCTCTCTAAGCCTCTCTAGTCCTTCACTCAGATTATTTCCCCCTTGTAGTACAGGTAGTATTTGGCACCACCTGAGATGGTATATCTTTGCTTCTTGTCTGTCTTCCTGCTTTAAAATTGAAGCTTCATGAAGACACGGGCTCTCTGACCTTACTGCTTCTGCAATGCCACCACCTGGAACAAGACCCAACACAAAGCAAGCATTTGCAACTCATGTGTGCTGAACAGATTAAAATAAGGGTTCTAAAGGATTTTCTTTTCTTTTTTCTTTTTTTTTTTTTTTTTGGTGGCTATGAGACAAGTTTTCCGGGCCTCTCTCTCCCAATCAAGTTGCTATCAACAGTGTGAGTCT